GCTCTGATGCCTGAGATCGTTGCGGAATAGATAACTGAACCATCTACTGACTGTCAATCTTTAGATGGAGCATCAGTCCGCGTTTAGCATGTTCTTGAAAGGACTCTAAGAGATAGAGTGGAGTGGAACAAACTACCGCAAAAACCTTGGCTTGTTCTCGCGCAATACGCTAGGAGAGAAAATTATGGTTGTTCCATATTTTTTTGGCTAAGCTAGACTGGTGTTTGGATGTAATAGTTAGTCTGATAACACGGAGTCAGGATTCAGGTTTAGTGGCGAGCACTGTGCGTCGTCCGCTTAAGTAAAGATGGGCTCGCTAGCAGGGAAAGAGAATAAGTTTGGTTTATATTTCCGGGGGCTACTTTCTGCACATCCTCTTTCAAGAATTTTCGGGGGCGGTACTTTTGTTATTTTTCCGGATCCATCTTTTCAGCTTGTCCAGGCTACTTTTTTTTTTCGCAGAGCTAGCAATGGTATTGTTGGTGATCACAGTCGACTAAGGAGCGCAGTATGTATTCTTTCTTGGGCAGCACGTTTTAGGGAACTAAGAAAGCGTAAAATCGTAGAGTTCCGACTACAGGAAGTCTGTGTTAAACTATTATGGTAAATTAAGTATAAATTTGAGTACTGCTATAATAAGAAATTGTAAGTTGTTTAATGACGTCTAGATACTTTTTTTGTTGTAGTTGTCTTATTTTTGACGAGCTAAAAATAGGACTCTAGGATCCCCTAACAGATTACGGGAGGGTAATGGTACAGATCTGATAGTTTTTATGGCGACAACAGCCGAATGGACTGATAGCTCATTTCTTCCTGGGCTATTGGTAGTAGGTGAGGATACAAATAGACTAAAAATATGCTTATACTCGGATTGGGAAACCTTTAATTACATTTTTGCTAATGGCACTTCACATATTGTGGCAGTAGTTTTAGACGTACAGGGCTAAATAGGGGCCAACTGTCTTCATGCAGGCACTTGTAAATTTTAAGACAGCAATTCGACTGCGCGCATTAAATCGTGGACCACCCGTCCTCTAAACTGCGATGTTGCCACTTAGCCCGAGTCGCAGTTTGCTGCTTAGGCACATACACAAGCTGCAACTTGCTAAGCACCTTGCCAAGCGACTCTCACACTTGTATACAATCTTGCTTGGGAGTGTATATCATACTAAGGCGTTGGCCGTTACCAGCTTAAATGAGTTTGAATGTCTGAGTATACTAAGTTGATAAATATTATGAAAGCTCAGAGTGTATGATTCTTTTTGCAGGATCTTTTTCCAAAATCGCTTATTCGGAGAAAGGTATAGCATGTAAAGCATATTTCCTTCGGCGTGGATTCCAGTCGCGATCACCGAGTGTTTTATTTTCATGAATTTGGTGGTTGATGCGCGAGAGCTGAAAAAGCCGTCGGTATCGGCCGGATCGGCGAGTTATTTTCAGCCCTGATCTTAATCTGTAACCATGTACGATATCGCGCTGTCCATATGTAACATGTATTTTACGTGATCTACATTAAAATACGACTATCATTTTACACTCATTGTGGTACAGAAAATAGATAATTATCTCGGTTTCGCTCTTTGTGGCACTTCTAACCGACTAACAGTCGATCAAAGCATATATTAGAGCTTTTTTGTTGGCAAATTTCACCCTAACCCTCGTTCTAACACTGCGCTTAACCGCATGGAGCGAACATTAATCTCCATTGATTTCTGTGTTTTGGGGGTTTATTTCAGAGAGTGATATCTCAGCTCCTGGAGTCATACCACATTTGAAATTCGGTTGCCATATAAGGGAATGGCTCTAAATTATTCATCTAAAATTTCAAGTCGATCCCCATCTTCGCTGCTCATTAAAGGAGGTGTACAACAGTAAGCGTCTGCAAATTGTTCACCGTTGCACTAAATCGTCTCTAGAAAAGGCATTTTATTGCATTTTTTTCGCAGAAATTCGGCATTAGAGTGCAATAATTTGCATTATGCACGCAAGGTAGATGCCTCGTGGATGTCTAGAAAGCATTAGAAGTAAAATTGGTCTTGTTGTGTATTCGTGACATTCCGTCAGGTGGCGTAGCCACAGCGAGCGGTTGGTCATTTTGGTGTTTGAAATGTGTTCAGACAACTTTGCAGAAATTCGCATCATAGAGCTGGCAAAAGTTTTGAGTGGAGCATAGAGCATGAATCTGTAGTTAATTAACATGAATAAAGTGTATCTTGTGTAAGCGCAGTAACAGTGTGAGTATTTTTAATTAATTTCTGTTCGATGCTTATTCAGGCCTGCCGCCTATGAATGCCCTCTACTGTTGTGTAACACCTTAATTGTGCCTGGTAAGGAGAGCTTTTCTGCCAAAGAAATCGAATAATTGAGTTTTATGTTAATGAAAATCAGTTATGCAAGTCCTATAGCATGGTTTTTCCACACATGCATGTTCAAATGACATTTAAACATGTATCTTAAAATGACTATTGCGAGATTTTTGCTCAGTAAAACTAAATGTAGCTGAATATAGTCTCATCTGACAGCGAAAATATCACTGATTACACCAACATTAAAAATACTAAGATTTTATGTAGTTATAGCATAGAAAATTGGATATGAACACATCGTAACAGCAATGCATTTTATCGTGTCCCGACAATGCCTAATGGCAGAATTGGTCAACTTGTATTTGTGTCGGTGATTAATTGAAAACAAGTGCATGATTTGAGAGAGCCATATGCTTTGTCTATGGCAGATAAGTGGTGGCGCCACAAGCTAATCCACACTTCCGCCTAGTTCAAGATAACAGAAAACGAATGTTTACGAAACTAGTTCGAAACCAGTAGTTCGAAACTGGCAGTTTTTGGTGAATACGAAGGTTCTAAGACATTTTATTGTTACTCTAGACAATTGCTGTGACTCAAGCAATAACGGTAGGTGTCATGAGTGGTCAAAACACTGGGAAATTTTCGCAATAATCGCTTTAATGTAAACATGTACATATCCGTGTACATATGTACATGTTATTTACGTACATCTACATTAAAATACACTAATTTTACACTCATTTGGTACCAGAAAATAGATAATTATCCTCGTTTCACTCTTTTGTGGCACTTCTAACACTTAACAGTATCAAAATATCTTGACTTTTTTGGTTGCAATTCACCCTAACCCTCGTTCTAACACTGCGCTTAACCGCATGGAGCGAACATTAATCTCCATTGATTTCTGTGTTTTGGGGTCTTATTTCAGAGAGTGATATCTCAGCTCCTGGAGCAAACTCCACGACAGATCGCGCTCTCGCTCTGGCTCAATTCTACCACTGCCACAAGCTGATTTCCGTAAGAATTTCTTACGCTTTTTTACTATAAGTTTTACAGCGACCTCGTTACTCCTGTCCTATGTAATAGGGTGTTTACTTATAAAAGCTGCAAAGATAATAAAAGTCGGATCATTATTTCATGAGAAATTTGATAAAATAGTGATACGAAATAGTGCGCCCATTTACTACTTTCAAATCATTACGCTGTTTACTAAACTAAGTTCACGTATTTATCATGAATTTTCGGGATGCTTGCCAATATACCTAATTCTCGAACATTGTCTTTGCTACATTTTTGCGTATTCAGCTTAAAACATCTAAATTTGTCCACCAACAAACATGCAAATCATAGAAATTTCTAATGTTTTGTTCCGCGACGACTTCGCGGCCGTTGGCTTGCCATTTGCTGGATTTCCCCGGAGCTCCGCCCACTGTAAAAATAGTTCTAGCATTGTGGCAGTGGTATATCCTGAGTGTGGGAAGGGGGCGCTGCATGCAGTTTGCTCCTGGAGTCATACCACATTTGAAATGCGGTTCCCATATAAGGGAATGGCTCTAAATTATTCATCTACAATTTCAAGTCGATCCGCATCTTCGCTGCTTATTAAAGGAGGTGTACAACAGTAAGCATCTGCAAATTGTTCACCGTTGCACTATATCATCTCTAGAAAATGCATTTTTTTTCGCAGAAATTCGGCATTAGAGTGCAATAATTTCCATTATGCACGCAAGGTAGATGCCTCATGGACGTCTAGAAAGCATTAGAAGTAAAATTGGTCTTGTTGTGTATTCGTGACATTCTGTCAGGTGGCGTAGCCACAACGAGCGGTTGGTCATTTTTGTCTTTGAAATGTGATCGGACTAGTTTGTAAAAATTCGCGTCATAGAGCTGGCAAAAGTTTCAAGCGGGGCATAAAGCATGAATCTGTAGTTATTTAAGTGTATGTTGTGTAAGCGCAGTAACAGTGTGTTTTTAATTAATTTCTGGTCGATGCTTATTCAATTCAGGCCTGCCGCCACTCGCAGCTAGGGCCTGCATACCTCCCAAATCCCATTGGTTGATACAAATCACATGCCTGAAACTCCTGTTTTAATAAAACTTTTATGGTGCATTGTGACCCTAACCCTAAGTGCTAACCCTAATCCGTAACCCTAAGTTCCCTAACCCTAACGCTACTTAAAATTTAATTACATTTGTATCAACCAATGGGAGTTGGGAGGTATGCAGGCCCTAGCTCAGTAGCTGCGAGTCCTGCCGCCTATGGACGCCATCTACTGTTGTGCAAAGAGCTAAATATTACAATTGTACAAATTGTAATATTTAGCTCCTTGCTGTTGTGCAACACCTTTACTTTAGCGATTGCACAGTGCCACAGTGTGCGATACGGCAACAACGTCGGACGCCAATTGGTTTATATCATAGGCGTACACCTGCGCGATTATCTGGACAAGTGACACCAGAAACGTACATGACTAGCCATTCTCGGCTAATATTAACGTACTAAAATACATAATTAATTTAATATTCTTCATACCATTCATTTTGACCATCGTTCTGTGCATTTTTACTGTCAAGTGATATGACTCGACGCCATTTTCCTCGATCATGTTGTTAGAGTAGTCCCGCGCCTGGACCTGCTACCGTTCTCGCATATAAAATAATTATTACAAGAAATTAACTCGGTATAATACCTACCTTATGAGTCCTGGTAGCTAGTAGTAGTACATATGAACATGAACGCAATTTTTAGGAACCTGTTTAAGTTGCTATATTCACGTTTCACTTTGAAAACAGTCAATAATTTTCCTCTTTGCGTCTCTTAGCGCCCTCTATAGGAGAGTATCACCATCAACATAATCACATCTTGTAGCTGCTGCCAGTGGCTGCCACCACTGTGTGCACTTCTATTCTATTTCTATGCACTAGCTGTGTACGAGCTGGGAAGTACTAATCGTCCTAATATAGGAATTTCTGCTAGTATAAAATAATGGTGCTTGATAAAAATTCCGCTAATACCAACCAAGCATAACTTCTACTATGCACGACGTGAACTAAATTAACCCTGTTTACATTTTGACCTTTTGCATTGACCCATGATATACAATGTGTCACCCACTTGTTATATCCCAGTGGATTATATATATATATATATATATATATAGAGAGAGAGAGAGAGAGAGAGAGAGAGGGGGGGGAGAGTCTACAGAATACTACGTGTGTTCATGCATGCTACTAGTGTATGTGTGTTATAGAAGTGACTGACTGTTAGCGGATTAGCGCGCACTCCTCTATCCGATCTCTGACTAAAAGGACAAGGGTCCTAGGGGGTAGGGTTGTTATACAATTTTTTGTGCTAGGGGTTATTTTTATGGCCGTTGCTGCGCGTCCGCGGGTTACTGGACGCCCAGCTCTCAGGCTACACGTCCGGTAATATATTTCTCATGTGAACCCAACTATATTTTTTCAGTAAAAAACAATAAACAATAAGTTTTTACCATAATATTACCAGAAGTAGATAATAGGGAATTCCCTGATATTACTTACCTTTAGGTATTTTATCAAAAAAATATGTTTTTGTAACTTTTGGAGCAATAATAAATCCAGTAAAATCAACGATTTGAAAGGGGGCGTGGTCTAATCGTCACGTGGGTTTGGGAATCTGTGCTGAGCTTTGTAATGGATGACCGGACGCGTAGCCACTGCGTATTTTTATTCCTGTTAGGCACCGTACGGGCAAATAGAATGCATACCTGTGTCTTGGGCCCGGGTGTGTAGTAGGCGATAACAAGGCAAATTGTTTAACGCGTAGAAACATAAATTAACATATCTGCACTAGTTGTACCGTATACACGTGTTTTCATGATAGAACATTATAGACTTGTAATACTTGGGGTTTCAAGTGCAATTTGTACTTTTCCGAACTATTGCCCCGTTCCATATAAAGATAACGTAAAAATATTGCCGCGTCACATATATATATACACGCACACCGTCGCACCCGCACACGAACATGGTCACGCGCAACACACACACACACACACACACACACACACACACACACACACACACACACACACACACACACACACACACAAACACGCACACACACACACACAACACACCACACACACACACACACACACACACACGCGCGCGCGCGCGCCCACACACACACACACAGCACGCATGCACAACACACACACACACACACCCACACACCACACACACACACACACACACACACACACACACACACTACACACACACACACACAAACACGCGCGCCTACACACACACCACACACACCACACGCACGCGCTACACACACACACACACACACGCGCGCGCGCGCACACGCACACGCCACGCGCAACCCCCCCCCCCCCGCGCCCCCCCCACACACACAGCACACACTCGCACACACACACACACACACACACACACAACACACACACACACACACTCGCGCACACACACACACACACACACACACACACACCACACACACACCCACACACACACACACACCACACACACACACACACACACACACACACACACACACACACACACACACACACACACACACACCACCCACACACACACAACACACACACTCACATCACACACACACACACACACACACACACACACACACACACACACACACACACACACACATGCACGAGCATGCACGCGAGTATCCAGACATTGTTAAATGAAACGAACACAGGGCAGCTAGCTGTTTTACAGACTGTAATTAGCGATCGACACGTATAGCTATATCAATATAGCTATAATTACTCACTCGCACTTTTGATTTTCGCGTACCACCATGGCGGGATGTGAAGTGTGATCGATTAGCTGCAGTATTATTTCAGTCGCCAACACTATTGATCGTAACATACTCAATATTTTATTTACACAGTATTCAGCAACGGTATATTTTGTAGTGTACTATAAAGTATATTGCAATAAAATGAGGCTTCGTGTGCAATTCAACGATAATATATATATATATATACGTGCGTGGGTGTGCGCGCGTGTACGTACGTATTAACATACATATGTAACTTCTATTATAATAGAATTAAACTGATTATTAAAAATATTGGGGTGCCACACATAATTGACCTAACGTATATTAATAAATAGGCAATGGCATATTTTATAATATTTTGAACAAACTGGAAAGATTTATACACGTATGACTAGGTTAGACTAGAATACACGACTGAATTTAGCTTAATATTTTTTGTTCATCCTCCAACGGGCTGATATAACTGTATCTCCGATTTGTTTGCTGTCCCGGGAAAACGGGATAGTTGCAATGAGCGCAAGTGGGTTTAACACGTTGCTTAACACAAATCTGTGGGATGTCTAATTCCGTAAATGCCCAAAGTTGCATATATATATACTGTATATATATATTGGTAGATCTTCAATACGATTCCCCTCTACGGGAGACATTTTGAAATGCTTCGTTGCACAAGAATTAACCTCTCACGTATACCTTCATACGTGAATAGTTAAACATCAAATTATAGCTAGTGCGCGTGTGGTTAGACAGACGGATCACTGCCACTGGTATTAGGTTCCAATGAGGATGGTGAGATGCGGGTTACGTGCCTAGCTGATGATTAGTGACATGTTCGAGCTATAGTAATGCGGCTAAGGAATGGTGATATAGTTGTCTGAACAGGCTGGTCTGGTGTGATCGCTAAAAGCTAAAGGCGCGCCTATAAAAGCTGATTACGTGGCAGAGGGTTGGTGACGCGGGTGATGAATGGTGACACAGATGGGGGGGGGGTCAAAATATCGTAGCCAAAGGCGTATGAAGTAGATGAGACTGGTGACGCAACTGAGGGCTGGTGGCAAAGATGGCGGTTGGTTACGTGTCCGAGCGGCCGGTGACGTAACAGCTAGAGGTGCTAGTGACGTGATTGACGGACTGATGACGTGACTGATAACGTGTGACTGAAGACCGGTGACGTAGATGAAGCGTGGTAACATAGTGCATGGTGGATGAGCGGGTTGAGGGCTGCATGACGCTGTGGTTGCCAATTGTCGAAAGCAGAGTGGAATGCTCTTGTGTCGTTTTCCGCGTCCGCGTACTTCCTATCAACTGTGTGAAGTCCTGCTCCCTCCGAAGGCGTTCAGAGCCAGTGCCGTCAGTTGCTTATTGCGTTTCCGTTTTGCCTCCCCTGTAAGTGAAAAAAAACCGGTATAAACTTAATGGTCCTTGCTTTTAACTCCTTTTTTTATTATTTCACTGACAGCGCGAGGAGCTCGCAGGCTCATGTTGATATATCTTTTACCAATGTACCGTAAAAGATTACAAATATTTATAATATAATATAATATAATATATAATATATCTAATATAATATAAATTAATTAATTAATTAGTCATGTCCTATTGCCCACATTATGACAGCATGGTCTATCCGGCCGGCGTGATTGGTAGGCGGTTCTAGTCTAACATTGTTGCGGTAGGATGTTCTACAGGCAATGCTCGACAAAAAGCCAACCCGAAGGAATATTTTGCATGTACCATGCCTTCAATTTAATACCAGGAGATAAACTCTACAAAACTGCTCGTTTTAGTGCGCATTTCACATAAATTTCTTGTGCCAATTTAACACAAAATTCGGATTACTATGCGACTATCGTCAGTGACTCCTAGATGCGGTGTATATATCTTCTGTATTTCCTCTCTTACTTACTTGTCAGAGATACCATATACACGCCCCAGGAGATGCTCCAGAACCAGCCTACGAGCAGGAACGTCACAGTGAACATCTGAGCAATGCCAACCCAAAGACTAACGCAGAACGTTCTCAGGTTGGCGTCGTCCTTGCCGTTCTGAACGCGTGTACTGCTGCAGCAGAAGACCGACGCTCCACCTAGCATCGTACCTACAACAAAAAGATGACAGAGCGGCAAATTTTATTATATATAGCATCCTCGCACCAGGTCACTTATCTCGGCAGTTGTTTGATTACCAAAATACTCTTGCAGGGATATATTAAAGGGAGAGTTTACTCTAGGTTCTAGGGTTATTTTCAGCTAATTTAGGTTATAATTACGCTACATAAAAAGTTTCCATGGTTCAATCACCCATTTAGAAATTTTTTTTTTTAATGTTTTAAAACTAACGACTACAGTTTGATTACAACGACGTGGCGCCACTCAAAGTGCACGATCTGATAAGTTGCGCAAAACCACTTTCCAGCCAAGGGCTACAGGCCGAGTGTGTTTCTTATTATTCATTTAAAAGCAAAAGGATTGTAATATCTTATAAACGACATATAGTTTCAGTTATAATATGGATAAATTTGCCCTAAAATGAATATCGTTCGGTTAAATAGCATTTAGGTATAAATATAATTGCACTTTTGTGATTAGCCCTCGGTCTGTAACGTGCAAAATAAATTGTCAACGGTCACGGTCACGGGTGTCATGGCGCCGTTCAAATTTCGTAGCGTTGATGTGTAATTAATTATAACAATTAAATTAGGTATCTGGTAACAAATACGTGTGGTATAGACGATTTGTTATACAGTAAGTACAGTTGTATGCAGTTAAATCCTAGAGGCTACTGTCCCTTTAAAGACTTTCTGTGATGGGTTGATCATAGACCAGCGTATGCAGACATGCACCCACGAACAGGATCATATTTGACAATCATATAATATATAATAAATAAACAAATAATTATATATATATATATATTATATATATATATATTATATATATATATATTATATATATATATATATATATATATATATATATATAATATATATATATATATAGGATAAGAGTGAGGAATTTGCTTGCATGTTTGTTTACCGCTCGTGTTCTCAACACACTTGCTTACACTTTTATTACAGAGAGATAGTAAATATGTGCGCCTCTGCTCATCTCGTACTAAATAACGTCTGTTAACTGACTGCATTGCTCGCTAAATTGCCAAATACAGATTAATACCAATCTGAGGCTGCGATGGCCGAGTGGTTAAGGCGTTGGACTTGAAATCCAATGGGATCTTCCCGCGTAGGTTCGAACCCTGCTCGCAGCGCTTGTTTTGCTTTGTAATTGCCGTGTTAAACAAATCCTTATGAAAAAACAATGCATTACAGAAATACGATCCGAGCTCAATTCGTTGTGGAAAAATACTATCTATAGTCTAACCTCAAAAAATAACATGTTAAAAGAATATTTAAGCGAGAACCATGTATTCTGTGAAAACGGGGATACCTAAGTTTCAGTTTATATTTTGATTATTGTTACCAAACACGCAAGACTAATGAGTAATGAGTTAAAATGGGTTGGTCGTCGGGTGATGAATCAAGGAATGGTAATCTATTGTAATTCAGCTGTGACGTCCGAGGTTATATATGACGTCGGATCCAATGGGAAAGGTTTAGAATCCGATGGGATCTTTTCGGAAAGGTTTTAATTGCACAATTTAATTAATAATTAATATTATGTGATTATTTCATGTATAATTAAATTTTAAATGAGACTACTACTTTGAATTACTAAAATTTGTGGCTGCGATGGCCGAGTGGTTAAGGCGTTGGACTTGAAATCCAATGGGATCTTCCCGCGCAGGTTCGAACCCTGCTCGCAGCGAAAAAGGAATTTTTACACGTAATTTAACTCGACACACACATGATGTAGACATGTAATTAAAGTCTCGTGGTGTCACGTATTACGCAATTTGCACTTGAAAACAATTTCGTAAATTGCATTTCACGTTATCGGCAATAATTATGTTTTGCAGTAAATTTAATATATATAGTGATGATAGGACGGCATCAGACGGATTAGAACGAGTTTAATCCTTAGTTTTACACAGATTCTGACCTGCCGCCTGGTTCCATTAGCCTTATATAGTCGCAAACGTCCACGATTATGGAGGTTGGCATACAGTAACTTTTAATAACACCGAAACCCAATCAGTTGCCGTGGCAACGCATTGCCGTGTTGTCGGTGTAATATTCCCAATGGAAATACCAGCGCATTTATCGTTGCGGTCCGACTATTACCTCTATTATTTACATTTACTCCTGAATGGCTGAATTCTACTGCGGCAACACAATATGGCTATTTCGGTAGATATCGGGCGCAAGCACTTATAATTCTTTGAGTAATAATAATACCTAAATACCTAACCAGGAATATATTACGAATACAAAGAGAGAAAGTTGCTTATATATGCAATCATATGTAACACGTAGGTGAAAAGAATCAATTTATATATTCAGAGCAATTGACCAATGAGAAATAAACATCGTTACAATAACAACGGAACCGAAATCTGTTTTCAAGGTGATTTGTTATAACGCCGGTATTTCGTTGCAGTGAAATTTTGATGCTAGGCCTACATGTTGACAGGCATGTCCGCAGGATACTTTAGTATGGACGTTAGATTTTGAATGACGAGGTAAAGATTTAGTTAGGTTCACGTTTAGATTTAGGTTAGGGTTATGTGTTATATGGTTGGCGATATGATATATTGATCAATATTTATGACCTATATTATATTATATTATCAATATTTATTTATATCAATATTAAGCCTGGAACCTAAAGTAAACTTGAGCCTTCTATATATACGTACCGGTTCCCGGTAGAACGATATTGAGGACGAGGCAAACCACAGACAGCCAGCGCGGCAGCACGGGAATCGACGAGCGGATCCACGAATCCGGACTGTTCATCACCTCCTTGGCCGCCTTCTCTCGATCCGCTTCGTCCTGCTGCTCCTGTGCCGCCGCTTGCTGCATAGCTACTCGGATGTCGACCGATCGCCGGTGGTCGGACACGGGTGTGTCGCCCACCGGACTGTCCACAGACAGTCGGCCGCTGAGCCGACGTTGATGGTCTTCCGGTGAGCCATCGCCGAGGCTCGCCTTCGACGCTCTAGAACATGAAATGTGAAATGTCTAAACAGTCTCTGAATTGCCGCTAAATAGTCTCTTGAATTGTCTCTAAATAGTCTCTTAAATTGTCTCTAAATTGTCGCTCTAGAGGGAACATCGGGGAACATGAAATGTCGGTCACTTTTTGTCGGAAATGCATGCATATATATCATGAGTGTATAATATAGAGTCTATATCTAAGATAGTGTCTATATGATACACTCGTGATACGATCACGTCGTTCGCATGCCCTCGCCTCTTCCATACCGCAATTCGTTCACGTTTATAGTATAACGAGTCCTATATGAGAGCGCTGATATCCGCCTGGTCGTATCAATACCTAAACGCATGATTGTTTTCTCCTATAAACTCAGCTATTATCTCAGCTATCACATCGTTCACTCACCAGAATAAGCATAAAGTTGACGAAACCTAATAATTATTATGAGGTAGATGTTAAATATTATGAGTATGATAATAACACGAGTGAATAATAATAGATATTATTATTCACTCCTGATAATAAGTACTGATGAGGTCCCGGAAGTGAATTACCTAGCTGTAGCCGGTACGATGACATTAGGATCCAACTGCGCCTGTTTGGAGACAACAAGGGTGGCGAGGTTTCTGTTAAAACTTCGTTTCAGTCCCGCTGCAGCGAGAGCAGCAGGCGGTGGCCCTGTAGTACTAGTCTTAGCGACCGGGGTCGGCACACTCGTGCTAGCGACCACGGTCGCACCATCTGTAGGGCTTCCACGGGCGCTGTCCGTAGCTGTTAGAAGTTGCTGGGTGTCGGACATCGCTTATGTTGATCCGCTACGTTAGATACCTTGTAAACAACAAATTGCTATGATAATTTACGCTGCGCGTCAGTGTTTCGCCACTGCGTGAGCGTTGTTTAATTTAATCAATATTTCAACAAAAGCGTACGGTTGTTCTACCACAAAACCCACGAGATAATTTTTTTTCACTAATTATGGATTTAAAAAAAGAGTATTTTAAACGTTATGCATCTAAAAAACGCATAGGGAAATCAATCTTACCTGTGGTCGCACTAATAAACTGCATACCGCGTTACACACTGAACGCCCGAACTACAATGGATCAATAATGCTGCCGGCATCTATGCAACGATTAAATTGCTGCTGTTTCAATGTTGATATTCACAACAAAAATCCTTCGTGCAGACGTTAAATAGCGCGAATAGTGCAGAAATGCATCTAAACGCAATCACAACTAGTACTTGTCCGCACGCAGACGTTATAACTCCGCTTTGCTTACCTGAGGGTGCGGGTTATTACTGGGGTCTGAGTCGGCTCGGACTAAACTAGTACGTCCGTGTGAAGCCGCACAGCCACGAGAACGCGATACGCACACACACACACAACCATCGCACGACGTTCGCTACTTAGTAACCAGTTGTGATTGCTGAACCTGCGTCGGAGCAACAATCCAGGTGCAGCCGCGGCAGCAGCAGCAGCAGCAGCAGCAGCAACAGCACACAGGTGGCTTACCGCGATATGTGTGCCGCGGACCACTGCACGACAGGTATCGATGCTGTGGGGAGGGGGTAGAGAGTGGATATTGAGAGGTATCGTGCGAGGTGCAAAGAAAGGAGCGTACCGCAACGAGGGTGGGGACGTGCACAAGTCAAGGTCAGGTTTCCATAGTGACCGTGACTAGGTAAAGACCTGCGGCAATACCCCGTGACGATGTTGAGATCATCATGTTTTTTTAAACTAACATTATTACTACATAGGGATGTAGTAATAAACCAAAACCAAGTGATGTAGTGGATATGCCAACTTTTATTACACGCACACGTGATATATAATCCCACTTTAATTTCGATCGCATCTCACATCATATAAACCCTTCTTGCTCATACCCCGTGACAGCAAAATCGATACGCTCAGCCCTTATATTTCGCAGCCACACTCTATATCGCATCGTGGAGCACTCTCAATGAATGGCAATAAGTGGGCGATAGTTTACTCAGTTGGTTACACGGTGAAAGTGTTTCTGTTACCGGGGCTGTTCATCGATGTACGCGTGTACAAACGGTAACCGCGATGCGTCACGACGCCCCTACCACTCGTGAATTATCGACACGTCAATAAATAAGGCCACTGTGCTAATTATTGCCTATATACCAGTCAGCTCTACGACAGAAAGCGGAGTCGCGCAATTCTTTTTTGAATAATGCGCACCAAATTATAGCACTTACTTATACATGCTCAGCTAGCGCAGACACGGTGACCAGTTAGTTAGGCACGACGTTGTTTGTATCACAGAAGCCGAAATAAAATCATCGGAAAAAACCATGTTGTCCGTTCTGATATTCGATGCCAGTTATTGATATACGTTACGGCGCACGTGGATGATATTATTTCATTCGCATAGAATCCATGAAAGATGTACGCATAGAATCGGAGGAAGTTAGATTCAAAACACTTTATATTTGTAAACTAAACATCTTTGGTACGAGGTTTTAAAACCAAAAACGACATCAGTGTCAACCGTAGTTTAATATTTCCAAAAACAGCTCTTACTTCGTTATAGCTCTATCCACGTGACGCTTCGCCAAGGTCAACAGTCAACAAATTATCTTCTCTTTGGTCTGAAATTTCCTGTGCTGGCGACTGCTGTCATGAAAGTAGTCACGACATCCTGTCTAAAGTGTCATAACTTTTGTAGTGAAGTGACGTGCAAAAGTTATGATATTTAAAACTTACAGTCACAATTATGTTAATAAACTACTTGTGTTTCTAACGAGTCCTGGATAACAAATATCAAATTAGGGGAATTACATAGTGGTTGCGCATGCTGAAACTTTCTTAATAGCAAAAATGGAACAGTGCAACACATAAATTTTACTGGTTTTATAATTAAAATTAAATAAAATTTTAATATATACAGGTATAATAACGAGCCTGATATGTATTTCGTAAAACCACGTTCTATAAATCAACCCAAAGCTTGAGTATATTTCTAAACAGCATACATTAACATTTTACCTTTGCGCGGTTTTCAACAAATACAGTTCTAAGCAATAATTAAGGCACAGTCTTGCTGTGTTCTGCGGATCAAACGAGCTCATCATTTAAAAAATAACGTTCAGACTCAGCTATCCTTCTTGGATTTATGTTAATAATCCATACACACATTGTTGAAATTATAAGAAATTACTACCAATGCTGAGGCCATGGGCACCGTCTGAGGATTACTATCCGATTTACTTTTATCAAGCAACCTCACCTCCTTCTTCCTTAACATCAGTGAGCTTGCTACGTTCCAAAACGTAAATGGACACGTAAACATACCTCAATTGATTTAATCCAAGTGAATACACTACCTCAATGAAAGAATGAAAAACATCTCTTCACTTACACGGCATGCAGAATAATAAGACACAGTAATCACATCCAATATATTATTCGTTAAATATCACACGATTTATGTCCATGAGCTGATGATGATTGTTTATTCGGTTTCCAAATATTACAAGGTGCTCTCAAGGTTACACGTATATCCAAAGTAAACATATAACTAATGTCTATCAACGTAAAATATTCTGTAACATGAAAAATATTAATACGGGATTTAATGGAGAAACAATTAGAAGTCTATGCACACAGGTGTTATACATGTATAAAACCCATCTTCTCTCAAACACGTTAATTTTGAAAGACACTAGAACACACATAAAGCAAAGGCCACACAAGGGTATTCCTACTATTTACTAGTGTTCATGCATGAAGTTATACCGCAAAATTGGTTTAAGAAAGAAGTATTAGGGCGTAGTTTATCCAGACCATTGATGCATACTCAACACTCATCATATACTTTTCTATGCATACCCGTTTGCCATTATTATCCGTGCTATTAAAAGTAGGTGGTCTTTATTTCTAGTAAATTTTCAGCCAATAACCAATCACTACTTAGACCAAGCTCATTTGCCCAAACTCTCTATGCAAGAATGACCCAGTACAGTCTCAATTTTACGTGATGATATATTTTGTTGCTAATTGTGCGTAACTCTCGATAGTATTACACGTTTATGTAGGACTTTATACGTTAATAAAATCTAAATCTTACATCTTAAATATTACATCTGACTCTATAGTTTCAAAAGTTTGGTGCCACAACGCAATCTCATTTTTCAATAACACACAAAAATTGTAATCAAAAACCGATAAAGTGTGAAGGGCTTGACAACATCATCGGTTATCGTCGTTGGGTTCCACCAAAACCTGATGCTGTTCTTGTCCCAGTGCTGCCACCGCCAGAAAATCCACCGCCTCCTCCCCAGCCTGAGCCACCACTGCCCCAGCCTGACCTACCACTACCCCAGCTTGATCCACCAGTTCCCCAGCCCGTGCGATGGCCAGGATGGTATGCATTATAGCCTCCAGTGCTGTAAAACCAATTATAGATGTTTTAGTATCAAGACACCTTTTCTATTAGCAGTTTCGATCAAGAGAAACAATTTTTTATAGTAAAACTAAACAGCAGTGTGTATCGTCAGCCCACTGTGATTGCCGCGTTTGCACCCATGTCCTGTGATTCCTATGCAACGGCGAGTACACGACTTACCCTCTGTTGCCAAAAAGGTAGCCCAATGCACCGCCTGTAGCAAGACCAGACCAGAATCCACCGCCACCACCTGCACTGCCTGCTCCTCCACTCTGGGTTCCACCACAACTGGCTCCCCCTAAACAAAAGGTATTAGGTCTTTAGATCGTTTCCTACCTATCATTACTGCACACGTGTGAAGATCTAGTACAGTATGAGGACCACTCTAATATTAATACCCCCATCACTAGGTATGACTATTCAACAGAATGGACGTTCGCACACCTCTATCCTGGCTTGATACAATACATTCATAATGTATAGTGAATCCCAGAGATAGGCTCAAGCCTAATCTGCAGATGAAAGAACCTTATCCATAATACCGTTCTTATTGCAATCGTTTTACAACTGATATCGATAAGTAGTATTCAATTAGAATAAAAAATTTTGGTTGCAGTGTTGTGTTGCAAGCTTGCTACCACTAGTTCTCACTCCTCACTTCTTTCACCCTAGTTCTTCATCGCTCACCTTGTGTGTAACTATCTCTGGATTCGTACGGTGGAGGGTTTCCGCCGCCTCCGAAGCCTGATCTTCCCGGATACCGGGAATCGCCCCCATCCGGATAGTCACTTGAGTCAGGGCTGTGAGCGTGCTGCGACACGCACGTCTTGTAGATTCCATAGATGATGAGCCCCACGATGATCAACATGACGACATCGCCTATGGCAGACGACTTCTGCGCCGGGTACGATTGAGAGGAGCTACTGCCGCTGCGCGGAAAAAATAAAACTGCTGTGATATACGCGCACGATAGGGACAAGCGAGGAGTAGGGACTTACTTTCGGTTACATGACGCTTCATTCATACTAGTCAATACTAGTCTATATAATAAGAAATAATTGTGTGGGGTGTTTAAGTGCCAGGGTTTAAGCCGAATGGTAAAATTGCTTGGGCTGCTCCTCATTCTTGCCCTCAGTGAACAACAAAAATTAAGGTTTAGCATGATTAAAAAGCCGAGGAAACAAAAATTAAGGTTAATAGATATGCTAGTGAACTAGTTTTTATTTATGAGGAAGTTTTTTTCATAGTTCATTCTACCCAAGTGTAATTTCATTAAATGTGTAATAAAACAGATATTACATACAATGTATAACTACATATATTGGAGAAGAGAAAGGGTTTCTTTACGTAATGTTACAATATATCAAGAGTACATAATAGAGATCTCTATTATGTACTCTTGAATATATGTATATAAAAATGTATCAAATTAAAAAAGGCTTCTAAATAGAATATTTAATAAAAAGATGTGTACACAGTATACCAAATGATTGTACTAACCTTCCATGTTCATTGTAGTAGTTCTGGTGGCCTTTACCTGCCTGTTGGTGACCCTCCTTTGTAAGGTCTAAAGTATACTGAAGCTGTAAAGCAACATAGCCAATCGTACAAATTTTATTCAAATGCATATCGTCTCGCCAGAAAAGCATCCCAAATATTAATGCCTATCAAGATATCAGGAATAGAAGACATTAAAACCTATGCACTACACTTTCCTACAAAACTTATGACATTTTAGAGTCTCATCATTCGTAACAATTTATGAAGTTTCTGAAAAGGGGTCCCAAGTTCCAACTGTATATTTACTTGTTTTTGAATTAAAACACTTGACACAAAAGAAATTTTAGAATGAAAGAAAAATTAGCAGATAGTAGTAGGAACTAGATGGTGTTCAAAACTCAAGAAAATTATGCACAAAATATTATACACCCATCCTATACTATTGTTTCTAATATATACATATATGAAAAAATACATTGTATTATACATACACCACATGAGCCTTTCAGTATGTACGGATCATCAGGATATTCATAGCCCTCACACAATACCTGCACAGTTCCAAATCGGTAGGCATTGTCCATGTCTGATTTACATTCCCACTAAAATCACATAAAAAGGCAGAGAAGTATTACTATTAATGTGCATGTTACGGAATGAAGATGCACACAACATAACCTCCTGAAATTTACCGCCACACGATTTAATGTTAATTGTAATGCAGAACCTGCCATGATTGCTCCATTCTATGCATCCCTACCCTGATAGTTCAGAATCAAATATGATATGCAGAAACCACAGCTGTGCATAAATTTCTAACATGAATTTAACATGATCGTTGAATTTAGACATTTCACAATGTAGATCCCAAAACCATAAAATCTCAGCTCTTGAGTATAACAGTACAATATTAACTTAATAAAATCAATTTCGTTTAAAACATTAAGTTATGGGCTAACAAGCTAGGATTGTGAAAGACCCTTTAGGCCTAATCCTTTATTTTGCATTGGTCAAACATTATGAATATTGGTTCTGACTCTACGGTGAATGTTCGTAGCTAATCACCTGAACATCAAAACCATCTGATCCTCTGTTGTAGCATTGCACAACTTGTGGAGTGAAGCCTTTACATCCAGCTGTACCGCCAACACAGCTCATCTGCACCATGACAAATATAACAGGGAGAATTGTGATTAAAGTAAACCGAACTCTGCCCGCTACCCTAGAGTCTAAGCTTTCAGTCCCCCGCAGAGGCCGTCCAGGCCTCTTCTTAACACATCTCCACAAATATAACACGGAGATGTTTCTCATGATTCATTGCTGTGTCTAGTCAGGTGCATTAAGTCTAATCCAAAAACATTTTACGTAATTGGTTGTGGAATCATGAGCCCTGGTGTACTGCTGTGTTTTTTAAGACCAGGGCACAACTACTCTGTACACTGGCTTTCCTATGTACATGCAGTCGAACAGTCTTTCCCCCCTGAACCAAGTCAAATGTACTCTGCTTCTTCCAAAGTACCAGTGTGTTCAAATTGTACAAATCGTGACTTCACTTTATATATTATCTCCACAGAACAGTGAAATACTTTGTGCAGCATATTATGAATGGCTAGTTTGCCTGAAAATAACACTGTAATGTTACACTAGGCCACCCTTAAAAAATTGTTTGTTTCCCCTTTACCTACTCGCCTCTCAGGGTACCGAGTAGGTATAGGTAGGTGAAAAATCGTTTTTATTTTGTTTTGACAAGATGTGTGTTTATTGTATATTCTGTTTTGTGTATATGTTTTTGCAGAACGAATTTGATTGTTTTTTTTTGGTAAAACGAAATAATTTTTGTTTTGTTTTAATCGGCCAATAAAATGTGTCGAGTAGCGGCGTTATGGCGAGTCGGTCGGTAAAGGGGAAACAAGCAATATTTTATCTTAGGCCCTACGGAGCCGTATGCTTCGCGAAACATCATTCCTGTTCTCTAGCTCTACATGTGTATAGATTACCTGAGGGATTGGCTGCGATCTTCTCCCTGTTGTCATCTGCCCATGTCTTAGTGTCAACACACTCACATCAGACAGAAGAACTTTGTCATTGCCTGTAAAAGTTTGCATTGGTCTCTAAAACTACCTGTCAACCAGTGTAGCACATAACCCCACTAAAAATGTGGGCTGACATAAAACTGATACAGTAATAATAATAATGATAATAATACTAATTATTATTATTATAATCACCATAACCATAATATAACAATTGAATACTATAATGTTACTAAACAACCAAAAGCCATGCTTACTACCTACCAAAGCCAAATGCTGCCCAGGCTATGGGCGATATAAATGCAATGATAACAAAGCACAGAATTTCCATGGTGTATAAAGTCATCCTGGATCACTCCAATTAGCCTGTAATCAATTCCAGTTCTCTAAGCGTTAAGGATGAATGAAACAATTTACTTTTCCTTGTTTAAATGCTATCTGAAAAATGAAAAAAAATGATATTGTACACTTCACAATTCCTAGGTCAGGTATAAGAGTGTTTCACGTGACGTCATAGATCAGGTCACGTGTATCTGTTATGTGTCATGGTTGGCAGAAGCGAAGCGTGCTGCTTGACATTTACAGATGAATGTCCACATGTTCTGATAGAAAGCGCTGTTTATGTAGTGCACGTACACGTGCGTGCTGCGTGCATGTGCACGTACACGTGCGTGCATGTGTGTGTGTGTGCGTGCGCACGTACACGTGCGGGCATGCGTGCGTGCATGTGCAGGTACACGTGTGTGCATGAGTGCGCTGGTGCGTACGTGCGTGTGTGTACACACTGTACAGACCTGTACACGTGCATGTGTGCATGCATGTGCACATAGACGTGCGTGCGTGCGTGTGCACGTACAACTGCGCGCATGCATGCGTGCGTGCGTGTGTATGTAAACGTACGTGCATGCGTGCGTGTGTGTGCGTGCGTGTGCACGTATACGTGCGTGCGTACATGTGCGTGCATGTGTGCGTGTGCACGTACCTGCGTGCGTGCTTGCGTGCGTGTGTACGTATACGTGCGTAAGTGCGTGCGTGTGCACTTACACGTGCGTACGTGCGTGCGTGCGTGCATGTGCATGTGCACGTACACGTGCGTGCGTGCGTGCATGTGCACGTACACGTGCGTGCGTGCGTGCGTGCGTACCTAGACGTGCGTGCATGCGTGCCTGCGTGCGTGCGCACGTGTGCAGGTACACGTTCGTGCGTGCGTGTGCACGTACACGTGCGTGCATGTGTGTGCGTGCGTTCATGCGTGCGTCCGTGTGTGTGTGTGTGTGTGCAACAATGAAGTTGAACCAGATCCACATCTGACCTTTCACAACAGTTTTTAGATAGAGCCTACTAAGCCCGACCAGGCTGTGCGACGGATTGTCTATACAGGATGTATTTACAGATTGTCTATACGGATTGTTATTTGGTATTCTAACCCTAGCAATACCGTTTCTTGGAGCTAGGGCCTACTAATCTGACAGCTGTATATTGTAAGGATTCCAATTTAGTACAGTTCTAAATAGCATAGGGGGATCTGCCTGGTGAAAAATATTTTAACCATGGCTTTACAGTCCAACTTACAATCGTGATTACTACAAGTAGTAATCACAAGCTTGAGACAAAGTGACTTTACAAATAATTACTTTACAACTAGTAATTACGACCAGTCTGTCACTGACGCCAAGGGGTCGTTGTCGTAACAGATACTACAGATATGTACCCGAGGTACATATATGTATACACAAAGTGTACCAGACTTGTACTACAGAAGTGTATTCTAACCCTAACACTAACCCTAACCCTAACTCTAACTCTAACCCTAACCCTAAACATACCTCATATAAAAATATAAACATAATACTAAACAACCTAAAACTACCTCGGGTACATATCTGCAGGAGTAGATAATAGGGAAGGAGTGTGACATCAATAAACAAGGGAAATTCGTCATTTACTAGCCTTAAAATACCTACGATTTACTACGCGTAACGCAACCAACTTGAGCTCAAATCGTACACAGTACATCCGCCTAGCATCGTGCGAAATCGTTTCCTCGTATACACCCGCAATCCGGAGATACAGACTAAAACGTACAACACGATTTTCAATTCTGTTGCCAGCAAAATCCATGCGTTGAGAAAGCTATTTGAAACAAAAGGCAGCTACTAACCACACTGTCCACGGCTTGCGCTCACGGCGAGGCGCTGTGGCTCGCAGGGAGATTGGACATCGATAGATAGACATAGACATAGATAGACTCATGACGTGCTATTGTGCGGTCGGTTATACATGCTGCCGCTGAGCAGCAGAGCTGCTGCTGATTGCGGTGGGGGAGTGCATACCAGCTGTAAATAGGTCAAAACAAAGGTTAGCTCGCCGAGTGTTGCGTCGATGTCTAATCTCCCTGCGAGCCACAGCGCCTCGCCATGAGCGCAAGCCGTGGACAGTGTGGTTAGTAGCTGCCTTTTGTTTCAAATAGCTTTATCAACGCATGGATTTTGCGGTTCAAGGATAGAGAACATGGGTCCCAATAAAACCAATGTTATTTACATCAATATAAATATAATATTATATCAATATAATTAATAGGTTAGGGTTATGGTTAGGGTCAGGATTAGGATTAGGGTTAGGGTTAGAATTAGGGTTAGGGTTAGGCACATTGGTTTTATTGGGACCCATGTTCTCTATCATTGGGCCGATTTTTCTGGCAACAGAATTGAAAATCGTGTGGTGTATCTCCGGATTGCGGGTGTATACGAGGAAACGATTTCGCACGATGCTAGGCGGGTGTACTGTGTACGATTTGAGCTCAAGTAGTAAATCGTAGGTATTTTGAGGCTAGTAAATGACGAATTTCCCTTGTTTATTGATGTCACACTCCGGCCCAAGGATAGAGAACATGGGTCCAATAAAACCAATGTGCCTAAACTTAACCCGAACCCTAAATGGCCTAATTCTAACCCTAACTCTAATCCTAACCCTAATCCTAACCCTAACCATAACCCTAACCTATTATATTGATGTAATATTATATTTATATTGATGTAAATTACATTGGTTTTATTGGGACCCATGTTCTCTATCCTTGAACCCACACTCCTTCCCTATTAGTATTATCTTATCTACTCCTGATATCTGTAGACTGTAGTCTGTAGTCTGTAGACTGTAGTACCTGTTAGTAACGACAACGACCCTTCGTGCGTCACTGACCAAGGTTAGGTAAGTGCAATCTTACTTGCCAATAGCCAATTACTTACGTTTACTACTTACAGTTACAAACTTACCATTTAGGTCTCCGATAATTATAAATTATAAGTTAGAGCAAGTATTGAAGTAAGAATACACACGAGAGTTCAGATCGTATTTGTGAAATTGTGTTTAGTGTGACTTGTGTTTTGTGTTTTGACTGACACCTTGTCTGTTAACATTGCCAATAAAGACCAAGTAAAAAAATTACGGTACCCATCTTAACCATCGTACCTAAGTTCTGACTGCGTGCAATGCAATTGGTTGAAAAATAGACTATCACCGTTTCTCTTTCCATCGGAAGTAGTTACTTCGCATAAACGGAGTAAAATGATAGCGGACCAGAAGTATCCAGTCTACAATTGATTTAGTGGCGTCACCTAGTAGCCACAGCTTTTTGCATGTTGTGATCGTAAGTCTCGCTTTTTGAGGTTAAATGTTATATTATTTAACTATTATTTATGTGTTGGGTACCGTGCATTTTCCCATAGATTCGATACGTTGAATAATTTATACCGTTAGTGTTAGATTAAAGTTATGTAGGCCGGTCAGGCTACGACTAACGACGTGACGGAGAAACATCACAGTACACCTCAGATACACCTCAGTACCTCAGATACACAGCACGCACTTGGAACGTCTCAATAAAAAAAATAATGGTAAATAAACACGAAATGTACCAAAGTCTTAATGTTTTTCTACTGTATTTCGCCTATAATCACCTGTAAATGCCGGTCAAATGCTCATCTGCAACACAAGTACACCGAACTCCCACCCGCGCTGTGCTGCGTGCACAAACAACATGAATAAGAGAGCAGGTAGGAAAGCGGGATTGAAAAATTTGCTCGACGCTCCCTTCATTTCACACGATCACAGAACGAAAAGACATCCAACGGCTTCCATCTTGGTATCTATGTGTACATAAATGTTCACTTGTTCGAATTATATCTCTGGCCTTTGTTCTTACCTACTCCCGCCAGAGATATCTCGTGAAATCCTGCAGAAAATGTTTTCTTTGTGAAAATGTAAAGAGGACGTATCATCCGAAAATCCCTAACGGCGCTACTTTTGATCGATCGCTGTAGTCGTGTGTGCGTGACGTCATTCCCGCGCGCATTGTGCTTGGATTGGCGGGCCTCGAAATGGAGCTCGGAGGCCAGCAGCAGCTCATCCCGGCATGCAATGCGCCCCATTACTCGTGTATAAACAGACATCTCGTCCTCTTTACATTTTCACGGAGAGAACATTTCCTGCAGGATTTCACGAGATATCTCTGGCGGGAGTAGGTAAGAACAAAGGCCAGAGTTATAATTCGAACAAGTGAACATTTATGTACACATAGATACCAAGATGGAAGCTGTAGGATGTGTATTCGAGCTGTGATGGTGTGAAATGAAGCAAGCGTCAAACGAATTTTTCAATCCCGCTTTCCTACCTGCTCTCGTATTCATGTTGTTTGTGCACGCAGCACAGCGCGGTCGGGCGTTCGGTGTACTTGTGTGTTGCAGATGAGCATTTGACCGGCATTTACAGGTGATTATAGGCGAAATACAGTAGAGAAACATTAAGACTTTGGTACATTTCGTGTTTATTTTCCTTTTTATTTTTTTATTGAGACATTCCAAGTGCCTGTGCTCAGATACTTCACTGAGCTCACAGTCATAGTGACAGTCGGACTTAGCTCTACTCTAGTCTCTAGACTCTAGTAGTGCTCAAGGGGTCGTTGTCGTAACAGGTACTACAGATATGTACCCGAGGTACATATATGTATACACAAAGTGTACCAGACTTGTACTATAGAAGTGTACCTTAACTCTAACACTAACCCTAACCCTAACCCTAACCCTAACGCTAACTCTAACCCTAACCCTAACCCTAAACATACCTCATATAAAAATATAAACATAATACTAAACAACCTAAAACTACCTCGGGTACATATCTGTAGTACCTGTTACGACAACGACCCTTCGTGCTCTAGTAGTAGTACTGTAGCCCGCGTAGAATTGCCGCAGGCAAAACATGGCCAAAAAATGTAGACAAAACACATTGGCAGCTATGATGCAGCCTATTACATTTCGGGTGACGTCACGCGTGTACACAATAGCATTTGAAAACGAAAAGCAAGTAGTGCTAGCACTTTGAGGAACAATTTATGCATAATAAATACATGGACATGATGGTGTAAAGTTGTGGAAAGTGTTCAAAAAAGATAAGTGAGATGTCCATGTACTATGTAGATAAATAAGTGTTCAAAAGCCATATAATTTTGCGTTTTATCAACCATTTTTCGTGGAAGCATTGGCGGACAGGTGCAGTTACGAAACCTGGCATGAAATGTTCTATAGCCCTGCGGCAACTGTACGCGGGCTATAGTATAGTACTAGAGCTAACTGCATGCATGCCACTGCACAAACTCACAAAAGATAGTCTCTATCCATGTGCGACTAACACAACCAGCCACAGGCACTTGGAGCGTTTCAATAAAATATAATGCTAAATAAATACGAAATCTATTTACTACCAAAGTCTTAATGTTTCTCTACTCTCTTTCACGTATTATTGCCGAAAATTTCCTGTAAATGCCGTTCAAATGCTCATCTGCAACACACGCTGGCTGCCGCACGCTAGCTGCTGCACACTGACACATAAATAAACAAAACAAAAAATATAAAAATGTAAAAAAAACTATATATTTATGGGTTAGTGTGCAGCAGCTAGCATGCGGCAGCCAGCGTGTGTTGCAGATGAGCATTTGGACGGCATTTACAGGAAATTGTCACATAAATATATAGTTATTTTTTATTTATTTAATATTTTTTTGTTTTGTTTATTTTTGACTCATATTGTGTTTTATTTTTTTATTTATTTGTTTGTTTAATTGTCATTTGTTTATTTATGTGTCAGTGTGCAGCAGCTAGCGTGCGGCAGCCAGCGTGTGTTGCAGATGAGCATTTGGACGGCATTTACAGGAAATAGTCGGCAATAATAGGTGAAAGAGAGTAGAGAAACATTGAGACTGGTAGTAAACAGATTTCGTATTTATTTAGCATTATATTTTATTGAAATGCTCCAAGTGCCTGTGCAACCAGCAAACAACAAACCAACAAAAACAGCAACTAGCCAGCATGGTGCATGATGGATGTGCACACTAAATAATAACGACTCATGTGCAGCAGTGTTCCTTCCCAAAATGACACACGTGCACGTTGGGGTGAAAGCCATAAATTGAAAGTATCAATGGTCACTGCTTTCATCACACTGGATATGGGGAGATGGTAATGTCCCATAAGCCTTATGATAAGGAAGTAAACCCTACAGTGAGCAGACAAGCTGCTAATAAACATATAATAAGTTGGGTTGTGCAATGTACCCTTCCTTCAGTCGGCTTGTGACCAGGTGGGATTAAAGCTGTGACTTCAAAGTTGTCTGTTGTTTCCAACAAACCCACTTGTAGGCCGTTCCAGATTGGAATCATCCATGCAGGGAACGAAAACGAATTTGTATACGCTGTTGTTGCAGTGCATGGCCTGAAATTTGTGAGGATTATCTGATCTGGTGCTGGACTCCACTGGGGTTTAGCATCTGTGTGCTATGTATATATAGTGCTACCCATGACCATTTATTTTTAAACAACATTATGTAACGTGATATCTGCAATGTTTGGTGTAATTAATGTCAAGTGTAGCTGCCGCAACATGCCGTTACAGTAACAACTTGTGTATATATGTTTAATGTAACATAGTATTATATTTTTTCATTCACAGACACTAACTTTACTATGCCACCAATTCTCCCATCCTTGGAGACACCTGAAGAAGAGTCTCAAGGTAGCATTGTTGATGATTTTAATGTAAACCAGATGGCAGCACAACAGCCAAGTTCATCTGACACAGATGAAGATGAGGAATTTGTAAGTTAGTCTGTGTTTGTCTATATTTTTATGTCCTTGTTTTGCCTTACAGCTATTTTGCACACTTATCATATCGTATCATATTCAGCTGTAAAATATAGGCTAGAAGCATGTCAGCCTGTCACTTAGGTGAAGTGATTGTAGTATTATTGTAACAGTTCTAGGCAGAATTGATAAGCTAGAAATTAAAGGCATAATTCGACCATCGATTATGCAAAGTTGACGAATGCTACAGTAACTGGCACCTTGTGTAGTTAATAAGTACATTACCTTATAGCCAAACGCGTATTAGTTTGTCCAATATCACTGCTAATTACTAAGAAATGTCTAATTGAAATCCGTAAATTTGGTAATCTGGCGACAACGCGAAATTTATGGCCAACAAAATAAACATCGAGTTCGGTTCGGTGACGTCACATGTTGCTTAACGATGTTGAGCATCGAATTGTTTGTTCCGGGTAAATTGTTTGCCTAGTGTTATTATTTGCCTAGTTGCCACATATTATATGTTGCTTGTAATCTCAAGAACGTATATTCATTTATTCCCGAATCCCAAGAGTAAAACCATAACGTACGGAATGCGCACTCAGACTACAAGGATCGAAATCACTGACGGCCGAGCATACGTGCGAAAATGTCCGGTGCACTATAATCTGTATGACACCGCCTCGCCAGTTCTGGCCGGTTACAGCCGGCATGGCGGTTTGTAGCTGTCAACAACCGATTTCTTGGACTGCGGATTTCAATTAGACATTTCTTAGTAACCAGCAGTGATATTGGACAAACTAATACGCGTTTGGCTATAAGGTAATGTACTTATTAACTACACAAGGTGCCAGTTACTGTAGCATTCGTTAAAATTGCATAATCGATGGTCGAATTATGCCTTTAATAATGTTCAGTTGGTGTGTTCACAGATTCATGGAATTGGAGATACATATAGGACTAGACGTATGGCAAAATTGAGTATGGTTACAGCAGTATAACTGAGCTTTTGACCCAGGTCGACTCCCTGTTCTCAAAACGAGAGAGATTATACACAGCAAAGTGAGGGTGTTTATGGTCTAAAGTTTAAAATTGCGGTTATCATTAACATATGAACAATAACCACCCAAATGACATAAACTAATATATTGTATTATTTTGTGTGTGTAACATGCAATATGAGGCACTGAAATCACTACTTTATTCAATGGTTTTGGGTTTTGTTTATATTTAAAGTAGAATTTTCAGGGAGTCACACAAATTCCTGGTATTGTTAAATCAAGAACTCCTAATAGTAAGATGGAATATTTGATCCCACAGTCATGTTGGTTTTGACTTCTGTATGTAATGGCTTGAAATTTGCACATATTAGCTATCAAGGAAATATTAGACCTTGTACATTATTAAATCCATATACAGGCAGCCAATTTAGTGACGTGCCTCTAGTTAACTGCTATTACTTCTAATTCTGCTTCTGCTGACACGTATGGTTTTCGGTTTTATAGGTAGGAAATGGTGGTTACCAAATTCTTTCCCAAGAGCCTCCTTCACAAGTAGTCCATGAAAGTGTAGATGAATTTTTTGATCTGACGCATTCCACGTGTTCACCATCCACAACAAAAGTGAGCGATATTTTGAGCTTTTATTAGATGATATAGATGGTAGATCTATATTTTTCATCGTTACATCAGTTTATTATAACGTTATCTATATTATAATGTTCTGTATGTATATAGGGTCCTGATCAGGTGGATTGAGTTCAGTGGATCTGACTAATGAAACGATCAGTTCACGAGGTTTGTGTGACCCAGATCATATAATCCACCCAAAACAAACATTTCTCAATATCTGGCCAATTTCCAGACAGCTGTCACTTGCTGCCATCTGGTGGCTAGTAAATATAACTGACTACAGCTTGACAACGACAACAGACCGATTGTTGAACCTGTTGCGTTAGTGAAATTAGCGATTTATCGCAAAAAAGTAGAATAATTAAAACATTCATAAATATCGTCAATATTAATGTTATTTTCAATCTAACATCCATATCCTGGGATGTAGTTTAATATTTAATATTCCTCTACAGTTAATTGTAACATGTCGTTTAGGTAGATGTGCATCCTGACATGCCAAAGAATGAGGAGGGATGGGCATCTGAAAATTGGAACACTCATCTTGGAATAAGCAGAGCTGAGCCTATGAATGAGGGTTAGTATGGTTAAAAGACTCTAGACTAAGCCTAATTTTTAAGGTCATAATCGGTGTTATCTTCACATTAGGTAATCTTTCACATTTAAGATTTACATATATATTAGATATATAGTAGGAATGCTAACCGCCGACGCAGACGAACGCAGGTGCATTGAATGGTGGACACGAGAATTGTGGTAATGATTTTTATTATCTCGCTTGTTAAAAAGTAAATTCATCTTAATCTCATCCACACTCAAATTACGCATGACTCCATAAATCTGCCCTTTTCATGCATCGTCCCACTGCTCATGATAGCAGAATTGTGTACACTAACAGTGTATATATATATATGAAGAGCTCTTTCCCAAAACACGATAAGCGCCAAATCCAAAAAAATTGGGTTTGCCATGCCAATACCAAGGCTGAGAGGGTCTATGTCCCCCGGGGTACTGCTGGAACGTACCCTGGGTACGGTCTGGTATACCGGAACGTACCCTGGTACTATCTAATATGCCGGACCGTACCTCGCCTACTCCACTAACGAGTCTAGGGAGTCGCCTACGCCTACTCCCTAAGCCGAACCCGAACCCTAACCCTAATCCTAACCCTAACCCTAACCCTAACCCTAATCCTAAACCTAACCATATCAAATAGTGACCAGGGTACGTTCCGGTATACCGGACCGTACCCAGGGTACGTTCCGGCAGTATCCTGGGGGACATAGACCCTATGAGCAATACCAAGCCCCTAGATCACTCTACAACATTCCGTCTTTGTTTTCTTACAATTTGCGATATGTCCGTGTATATAATACACTAAGAAATACAGTTTCGTTCCATGCCGCGATAATCACCATGCCCGTTTTATAGCTAATCGCAATATCTCCTCTCGACGAATCGGCGCATCGCATTTATCCAACATGGCGGCGCCCATAGCATAGGAATTTCGTGCACGTTTTTCGCCTTTCAGACGTCGATTTCTTGGGCAAAATGAATACTTTCGACGGTTCTGATGGGCAGGTGATGCTTTCGCCGGGCAGTAGAAAGCGTAGGTTAACCAAAGATGATCATAAACGAGAACAAAACAAGAAAATTTGCCATTCTGGCACCGATCTTTGGATTTAAATAGAGATTTGGAAAAGGAAACAAATTATGGATATATAGCAGTTTGGAAAAAATTGATTAATTTTGGTTATGTAATCAACAATATTGTTGGAGGATTTAAATTTTATTCTTGACAATGTTCATACTGATCAAACAAACTGCTTTTCCAGAAAAATAAGTATGTTGTTAAAATTTCTAGTTCAGGACAAAAAATGACATTTTTCATAAAACAATGAAAATGGATTTATAGCGTTTTGGAAAAGAGCTCTTTTTATATATATATATATATATATATATATATATATATATATATATGTATATATATATATTATATCGTAGTGAAGCCACAACTGTTACAGTGTTTCACCACAATTAGTGTACTATAGCACAAAGGCCTGACGTGTGTCGTTCAGCATTTCCACACAAAATTTAGTTGACTAAGTACCATAAACATATTAAATTGACTACGTCACGAATTTTCTATGGTAAAATTTGTAAAATTTTTGTTGCAATTTGTTTACATTAAAAGTAAGAACTAACGGGACTAAACGTATCATCAAATTCTTACCTGATAAGATTGTTTCTCGACTAGTTAAAAATCCAAAAAACCTGGACGATTTGATATTATGTTCCTGACATTATTGCTTGCTATGGGCTATGTATGAGTCACGAGTGTATGTTCACATCGAAGTTAACAATATAGTAAAATAGGAAGTATAATGCAGCAATTTAACCATAAAAAGTGAACAGAATCACTTGTATTTTGTGAAAAAGTGGAAATTTTATTTTTATTTTTTACTATTTACCGGGACATAATCAAAAAACGATGTATTTATTATTAAAATTGCTGAAAAGACGTGGTGTGTTAGGTGAACGTAGGTTAGGTGTAAACATGAGAAACAACGAGATATCAGGCCAAATATATTCTTGACTAGATGTGATTGCACTCGTATACATTCGAAATGCAAATTTGATTAAAGTTGAGATTGAAAAATGGTTAAATAGGCTTTGCTTACATGAGTCTACCTCTGATTACTATTCCTTATTTAAAGGCAGTTGTTTGCCATGTTAGGTTGATTGGTTGATTTGTAACCAAGGCACTCATAGACATATAAACAAAAACTTCACAGTCACCAATTCACAGCTGTCCTATGAATGCAGGGCATGAAATTAGCCAAAATGTGAATAGGCCCACCCAAAATTTTAAACAGGCCCTTAATTTTGTTCAATTTATTCCATTATTAATAAAAGTATTAGCTTTGTGTTTATTAGGCATACTCGTAGTATTTCAGTATTTCATTGCTATCAGTGGAGTTCTACTTGTTTGACAGGAATTGCTGGAACATGATTTACTTTTTAGTAGTCACTAAGTAAAAACTAGTCAGGAAATTGGTAAATATTGTTGATATAAAGGCAAGATAGGCAAAATTTGAATAGGCCAAGTGGACTGATTATATGGGGGGTAGAACTGGCAGTTTAGGGGGTTGAACCGGCAGCCGCCGACAAAATAGCGCTAGTTTCGCGCAATGTGAATGCATATCATTCGTGACTGAAATATTCTCCGTTTCAGAGCATGCAAACAAGATTAAGTCAATTATGTCTGGTATTGTGCTGCCATCTGCATCACAACCAGCGTGGGCTAATTTATTTCCGGACCAAGTATGGAAACAGAAGCTTATAACTGAGTTGAGCACCAAGAAGACTGGAAGTAATTGATAGTCAAAGTCCTTGCTGAGAGTAACTGTGACATCTCGTCTGCCAGTAAGTATATATACGTGCCAAGTTATCTGTGTATAATATTGTGTCAGTTGGATGATTGGAACTGTAACATTACTACAAACTTAAGAAGGCATCACAAATGATACATGTGTACAGATGTGTTCTGTGCAGAATTCTTTCGTGGATATTTTTGCGAATACTTGCTTGGGTGCCCGACAATGCTTAGGAACAACTTCCCACCATCTCCTGAAAGCTAGATCCGGCCCTGTTTTGGGGGTCATAAACCAATAAATGGCGGAATGCATAGCAAACAGACAGACAGAGTTCGTTCTTGTAGTACAGTATAGATGTTCAATGAAGGGAAATTGAAACTGTTTCTCATTGCTATGATTAATACCATTATTTAAAGTGGATAAACTTCACAACAAAAAGCCTACATACACCTAGTGTGAGCATACTTGCAGTATGCAAACATCACAAAATGTTCTTACTGAGCCTTGTTCAAAGTTGACTATTTTGAAACTCCGTCGGACGCGGTTTCGGCATAGAGATACACATAGAGCGATGCGACAGAGAACGCTAACAGTAGGCCTACGCTAGCGCAAATAGTTCATGGAAATAAAACACTATATTAGTTTGATGATTGCATAAGTAATGTAGATAACATGATTTAAACAAATTTTACAATTTTGTACTGAACAAACATCGAATACTACATAATAACTTGTTTTATCATAGAAAATAACTGTTAATAAAAACTGCGATCGGCTCGGCTGTATCCCGGATGTGTAAACACTGCAAACATTCTAAAAGTACTCGTTTCATAAGACTGTTTAGGTTTGCTGGAGAAATGTTATGAAAGTAGCAATACCAGTGAGTTGTATTGAATCTTTACAACATAGACGAGCTCACAGTAGGTATATCTATGCATTTTGCTGCGAGAACATGCCATTTTAACTGCTGTTCATAAGCAGTCACTACAGCGATTATAAACATTTTCTAAAGCTAGTTACCGTGACCTTAACCTTGAGTCTAGCATCTTAATATACAGCCTATTACAGGCTTTATTGTGTTGCCATACCTAACATTTGCATGGGATTTTTTAAGAAATCTGTTAAAAAATAAAGTTGCTAGAGTGGTGACAAAGATTTTCTAAAAATAATAACAGCAACATCAATCTTACGTGCACCATCTTACGTGCACCATCTTAAGTGCACCATCCTAAAATACAAACTCTTCCAAGATTGTTCTACCTAAAACCTGTATGAAATTTCATGAAATTCTGGTGGAGAATAAAGTTGTTAAAGTGTCGACCAGGGCCGCACAAACGTGCATCTATCTGCATAGGTTGTAACCTGTATCCCCTCCTTGCAACTTTCATTTAAGGATGTTATTAAGTATTGATTACCACTATTCACAAGAAAAAAGGAGGAATATCAATTTGCACGCAAAGAAAACTGTCATTTGTTAATTTATGTATTATGATCATCATAACTCATTTAATATGGTACATAATATAATGATATACATAACAATAATGTTTAGTAATGTAACAAATATGTTTACCACAAATATGTTTAATGGTAGACTACTTTGGTTGAGTAATGGTGAACTACATAGGTGTCTGCAGACATTAGCATGTTTTTTTCAAATGGGTTGATTTATTCGTGCTCATTAAGCGAAAATCTGCTAATCGAAGCTTCGTTAAACGTGGTGTGATATTACTTTAAAAGGTGCATGTGATTTTTGCCTTTACATAACTGCACCAGGCTACAAATGCGTTGGTAAGTGTGAGACTATAGCTATTGTTAATTGCCTTTGTAGGTCGACTTTGTTTTTTCTACACCTTGCTGAAGCATATCAAGGTTCTTTGCTGGGCCTACCCAAGCTCACAAGGCGACACTGAGAATATAGTACTGTTCTTCTTCCACGGGCGGATTCAGACCGTATTTGCCGTATTGGGAAATACGGTCTAGATTTCAAAGTGCCCTTCGAAATTTTGCGCTAAAAAATACAGAAAGCAATTTGATGAAATTTGGCTATATTCTTTATTTGTTTTCTTTTTCATCTGATTCATTGACAGGACTTGAAGGAAATCAAAATTTTACATGGTAACAAAACTAGCTTTGATATCTGAAAAAGAAGGGAAGTGCTTGAATCATTCTGCATTAATTGCTGGTATGCAAAGCGCAGGCAAAATGAAGCAGAAATAAAATTCCATGTGGTTTTTAGCTATTGCTGCTTTTTTGTGCTCATTTTGGTGCCTAGGGACCCTTGAAATTTATAAATTTCCTGGCGGAGGCCCCCCAGACACCCCGCCATGTGCTTCCGTGCCTAACGGCGCCCACTGTGAGGTGGTGTGGATGTGCCCTTAAAATCTGGAAAAATACTGTCTAGCTTCAGCCCTGGATCCGCCCCTGTCTTCACTACTCCCTTCTCATTGCTTTTACTAGCCCCTAGCAAGAAAATGCGCCCGATGATATGATAAAAGCACTTACACTAAATAACAACCGGATTCTCAGAATTCCGATTTGAAGATGAAAAGAAATAAAAAAAACCTTTTATGTGTAATAGGAATAGCAGGCGTGATTCTGATCACATTTACTGAAAGAACTAACATACTTTGCTCAATGCCAGCTTCCTTAGTAAAGAATTTGCTCTGTAAAAACGATGCAGCTTGACAATCATGTGGATCATGTGGATCATGTGGATTGCAGGAAGAATATGAGTGTAAGGTGAAGGTGAGTAAATAATGTTGACAGGAGTAATGAGCAGGGAATCAGGTTCAAGCACTCATGGAACTAACTCCTTCTTTGACAATTTTCACTGGTATTTTTTCTTGGAATTATGATTTTATTTTTGTTATGTTTTATTGAATCAGGGATGATGAATTGAAGTAGTTCTGTCTATAGCGACCTGGGTCACACAGATGAGGATAGAGCAAGGTACAACATCGCCCTGCTTTTGACGAGGGCTGTCATGTTTAAGGGTGAATAACAATAGATACTTTCAATTAGATTAGGACATCGTATAATGCTGCGAGTGCATCACTATATTTTGTATTACGATGGGGTTTCATAGCACTCTAAGGGTTCAGATAAGGGTTCAGATAGCAGTGAAATTTTTTGTTACGAAAGCGGTATGATACCATTGCGTTGTCTATGTAACGTGAAATCTTCATATATTTACGATTGATTTGGTGGACCAATTACAATCTTAACGAGATACTTCTGTACAGAATGCCGTAAGTGGCCGTATCCGTTCATGGAGGATGAATTTATTATGTTAAAAACTGTCGGGATAGTGATAGTGAATAGTGATGTATATCTACGTAATCTCACTGGGTTTTCTATGGCATTGGTCATATAGCATACGTAATCTATAATGAGTATATGTGTTGTGCACTTTTCGAAAGGCAAGATAGTGTATTTCTCTGTGAATTACCTTACATGTACCATACGCTTATAGCGTGCATCCAGAAACAATTGGTGAATCGTTTACCCTATAGATTTTATAGGTTCTATAGATTCTATCTTGATTCGATAGTATAGAACATGCAATACGTGACCTTGTGCGAGAGAACGTGCCAATAACGTGAGCATATCTATGCTCACAGATCTATTATATGATCATTCTAATAATAGGATTGAATTTGCCAGTGCTACTATTACGAAGGAATTCATATATACATCAGGAGTAGATAATAGGGAATAAGAATCCCTATTATCTACTTCTGATATACATGTTGTAAATATGAAATCTAGTTTTTTCTGGCTGCTTATTTTACATGTCTTGGCAGTTGCACATATGTGTCAGGATTGGTATGATGTGTATTCCGTAATTTACACAGAAACGTGGCCTGCTAGGGTGAGACAGAGCACGCGCTCCTCAATTATTGGAAAAATAACGTAATAAGCGTATTAAGCATGAATGAGCCACTAAAATACATGTAAAAATAAAACGAAAAATAATATATTCAATGAGATAAATCCTATCCTACTGTGGATTATTTCTGTTTGGTTTATCTATATGTATCTATTAAATCAAGAGCGTATTAAGTATGCATACTTAATACGCTCTCAATTAAATCCATTTCTGCTGCGTCACTGAGTGGAAGTAGGAGGAGGTAGTGGAGTACTGGTAAACATAAAGATGTTATAGTAGCCGTTGTCACCGCTATCCGAGTCACACACATGCTCTCTCTTTCTCTCTCGTTCTCGATCTCGTTCTCTTTCGCGCGCGCTCTCTCTCTCTCTCTCTCTCTCTCTCTCTCTCTCT